GTTTCAACCCCTTAGCTTCATTGCATTTAGCCTCATTTCCTTACTGCAGGAAAGTATGTACAACATCAAATAGAAGCAGTTGTTTTTATTAAGAAGATGTATTATTATTACTTGGATTTTCTTTGAATGCTATATTGTGCGTTTTTTATATAATGCATATGTATTTTCTTATCAAATAATAATACATAATGTTAGTTATATTAGCATTCTTCCGCACTAATTTTTTGAGTGTCTATATTATACACCCGGGTGTATATGTACACCCGGACCACCTTAGGAAGACAGCCCAATAACTAAAACATGTCAAAAAAATCGCGCCGGTGACATTTTTGTAATTTAAGCGAAAAACATGGTTCTCGCTAAATGAGCAATACTAGACTTTTGGTGAGCATGTGGCCTATTGTATTAAGTATTAGGAGGTTAACAATGAGTATCACGATCTCTGCTTCATATCTTCTATTTTTTCTTTTCTTTTTCTTATTTTTTCTTTATAAAAACTTATTAAATTGTATTCATAATTCACTCCTATTAATTTTAATATGTGAGTCTAATGTAATATGATACTTTTGAAATATGAATTGATATGACATTTTAAAAATGAGTAGCACATCAGTACCAAATGAGCATACATAATTTACAAAATGACGTTGATATGAAAATCGTAAGGTTTGTTAGTTAAACATCACAACATTTTAACTAAGCATCAAATCTCCGCTATTGAGATGAAAATTACGGTTTCTAGTGAATGAGCATTAATGAACTTTTAATGAGCATTGGACCTATTATGTTCAGTATTAGGAATCTAATATTCAGAATTGTGATCTTTGCTTCATAACTTCTAATTTACTTTTCATTTTTTATTTTTTCTTATATAAAACTTATTAAATTATATTTATAATCAACTCCTATGAATTTGAATATGTGAATCTAATGTAAAATGCATTGATATGACATTTAGAAAATGAGCATATAAGATGAGTATCAGATGAACTTACGTAACTTACAAAATGTACATTGATATGTAAGTCGTAATGTTTGTTAGTTGAACATCGCGACATTATCGTTGAGCATCAAACATCTTCTATTGAGATCGATGGAAATCATGATTTCTATTAAATAAGTATTAATGAATTTTGAATGACCATCAGACGTACACAAATCATGAGCTTATGTAACTTACAAGATGAGCATTAATATGAAAATTGTAAGTTTTGTTCGTTGACCATCAAGACATTTTCAATGAGCACCGAACCTCCGTTATTGAGTATTAGAATCGTGTGATTGAGTATCATGATTTGTGGTCTCGTGTCTATAATCAAATTGTATGTGAATCTAATGTAATATGAGACTTTTGAAATATGTATTGATAAACATTTTAAAATGAGCATAATAAAGGTACTAAATGGACATACATAACTTACAAAATGAATTTTCCAAAATTCAAATGCTCATTTGTGTATATTCATTGTTTTAGACGTTTTACTTATTTGAGTTTAAAATAAAGCTCATTTTTTAATAAGCTCGGTATTAATATATAAAGAAAAAGAAAGAAGGAAACAAGAAATAGAAGAAACGAAAAGAAGAAAAGAAAAAAGACAAAACAAAAGAAAGTAAACTATCTAAAGTAAAAGTAACGAAAAAAAAGTAAAATAAAAAAGGGGTAATTTGACTTTGCACCCCATATTATTGTCCAAATTGGACTTTGCACCCCGTTTTTAAAAATCTTTGTTTTTGCACCCCAACCCCATATCAAAAGACCAAAATGCCCTCAATCAGGAATATATTGAAGACCAACACAATTGTTAATGGAGGGGCATTTTTGTCTTTTCATATGGGGTTGGGGTGCAAAAACAAATATTTTTAAAAACGGGGTGCAAAGTCCAATTTGGACAATAAAAATAGGGTGCAAACTCAAATTATCCCAATAAAAAAGACAACACAAAACGTAAAACAAACTAGAAGAGGGATGGCGGCTGAAAGACCAAAGAGAATGACAGCTAAAAATAATAAAAGCAATGGGGAGTGAGTATGGCGGCAGAAGAAAGAAAGAAAAGCAACGAGTATAGAGTAGGGATGAGAGAATCGGGTTTAAAGTTGATATATATTACAAGAATATCGGGTGTACATGTACACCCGGATGTACCTTAAAATTGCATATCTTTTGGTGTAATTATTAATGATTGCATTAATGCATGTAAATGTCATGATGTTTTTTATATTTTTTTAATATGACATTCTAAACTTTTATTCATTCTCTCTCAAATACAATCGGTAACATAATTCTAATGAATTAGATCATCTATAAACGGTTTTGTTCCTCTAATACCAGCTTCGAACTCTTGACATCATGGATAGGAGTATCTCAACAAACCATCCAAACCAAAGAGGAGCCCGTCTATAAACGGTTTTTTTAAACACTAAAAGTTTTAGTTATTTTCAATGAAGTGATAAGAGCATAACAAAGTGATAAGGATTCAATCAATAATCTTTTTATTGTATTTGAAAGTAAGATTGCTATCAAATTTATCGATTTACAGCCCATTTTGTGACTTTTTTTTGCGTTATCGGTTTTATCAGTCAATTTTTTTCATGAAAAACGTAACTTTTGGTTTCACGTGCTGCATTGTATAGTAATCAAAATAATTAATGTTGATTTTATTTTCCGAATTAATTGGCTAAAGTTACTCAAGGTGGCCATTTTACCTATTTTCGTATAATTATTTCTTTATTTTACTAATTTTTTTTTCATAAATTAGTAGAATAAGCCAATTAGACTACAACTTTCTAAATTTCGGCTGAATCAGTCAATTTCAGTGTAATCAAATGGATTCTATCTTAATCTATATTCTTTCTATATTCAAAGACTCAACCTCAAATCACAACAAATATGGCCGGATACATACCTTATTGTAAAAGTAAAAACTCTGAAATACACATTATTTAACAAAATAACCTAGACGAATATTATGGATTTTTGAAAAATATAATCTCACAAAGAAAAAAGAAAAAATTGAATTAAGGAACACGAGCAAAGGATTAAAAAGAAGAAAGGGGAGGGACTTTTGCTCTTTGCTTTCTATCGTTTTTGTCTTTTATGTTTTCATTGGTATTTATAAATTATGTATTTGAAAGTTGCTCATTCTCTATTTCATTTTGTGGTGAACACTTCTCTCATAGTTGATACTCTCTCTGTCCCATTGTAATTGTCATATTTTCCTTTATGAGTTGCTCCAAAAAAATATCATTTTTTTATCACAATATTTCATTTTATTATGCTCAAAACTCACTTACATCTTTTACTTTATCAACTACTTTGTTAATAATTGTGTCAAATTAAAGCAAGACACATAAACTAGGGTAGATGTATTACTATCATAATTATTATTGGACATGCTAGCCAGGGCCGTCTTGAGTTGGGTTGGTGCCCTAGACAAAAACTAAAATAACATGTACGTAGTATAAATTTTCTTAATAGAAGTCAAAATATTCCGAAATTTTAAAATAGGAATCTCATGTTTTTATTGCCTAAATAGGAGTAATTTCTATCAAGTTTGAAAAACTGCTATTTAGGAATAAAAACGTGGCAATTCTATTTTGAAATTTCAAAACGTTTTTACTCCTATTTAAAGAATTTTCCAATGTCATTTTCATATCAGTCAATAATAATGTTAACACAATAATTTAAAATGAAAATGATAAATATACAAATTATGTAATAATACTCTTGTTTCACTATAGTCCGCTAAACTTGACTTTTCAAGTCAATGATATCTAACTTTGACTGATTTTAGATTTATATACAAAAGTATTGATAATATAAAAATGATATGAAAATATTCTTTGTCAAAAGATACTATAAGAGTACAAAATTATTAAATTTTGCATAAATATACTAGCTAAAATAATTACTCAAATTTTACCATATTTGATTGAAAAAGTCAAAGATGACTAATTAAAACGGAATGTAGGTATTAGTAAATTGTATATAGAATAGTTGATTTAAAATATTAAACAGAAAATACGTGCAACCTAACTGTTTTAGTATTAAAAATGTTAAAAAGAAAATGTTTACCAATAATGCAATAATTCATAAGGTTCTGGCCACGTGAAACATACATACATATACGAAGTGCTTTTTAATGAGTAAGTCGTACGAAGTACTCCGTATTAAGTTTTGCACGTTTGCAACTATACATATTATGTACTCGTAATAGTCTTATTCCTGAAAGCTGGTGCCCCATACGATAGTGGTGCCCTAGGCATATGCCTAGGTGCCTACCCACTATAGCCGGGCCTGATGCTAGCCCATTGTGCGTTTGCATTTTCATTTATTTATTTTTGGGTCCTCTTTGTTATGAAGGAACACTAAATACTCTATTTTTAAATTGATGCAAGTGTTAACATCTCAAATGCTAAAAGTAATCATATTAAATCAAAATACAATATGCATACTTCTCAATGAAAATGCATTAGGCATATGTTATTCAATCGCGCAATGCGCGTGTTGAAAACTAGTAATATTCATATATTTCAAATGGGGACATTTTATCGTTGTCACTTATTCCACATCGTTCAGGGATCATTCTATATATCTAAGATCACCAGCCATTCTATGTCATCTAATGGCTATGTGTGGCAAATGGACCATTTTTTACTGGTTCTACCTCCGTTTTCTTTTAATTACAACATTGGACTTTTTCCACTATTCACATATTCTACTTTGACTATATTTTATTAATTAATGCATTACAAATTAAATACTTAAAAAATATTGTTAAATTTTTCTCATTCTAAATTTTCAAAATATGAATTTTTTAAATTTTTTACTAATAAGGAATGAAAAATATAATGGTCAAACTTGTGCGTTGGCAAACATGAAATGTTGACTGTTGCAATTAAAAAGGAACGGAGGAAGTATGTATTAAACAATTGTAAAAGAGAATATATAACAAGTGAATAATGTAGTCGATCAACAGTTTGTATGTTGTAAGACTTGTAACTTGTAAGCATGATGGAATGACACATCCACGTTTGGGTTTTGGTCAACAAACAATTGAATCCATGTGTGAATGTAATGTATGATAAAATTTTATAATTATAACTTAGGTACACATATGTTTTAAACCTTTTTATAAAGTTCCAGAACTGCATTATCATTGCTCTTATTATTATTATCATTACAACGGCTGTGGTTCTCGAAATTGTGACATTTCATTCATCTAGAATGATACATGGGAAATGGAGTGACATCTCCGAGCTCTTTGAAGCCACCCGCATAAAGAAGTAAAGAGTCCAGACTTAGACTGAAACCGGAGTGCATTGTAGTGCCGTGTCTGCGAAGATCCAAGTACCATTCAAATTCTTCTTTAGACAACCCAACTTCTTCTATCCTGAAAACATTTAAAAATCATGACCTTCAAAACAAATCTTTAGTACTACGTATAATTTATTTTTTATATGAAATAAATTATTATATCCTTTCACTCGAATCCAAAATTTTTATGTTTTTACTTGGATTTACTTCAGTCTTAGACCTAGATCAGACTTTAACAGATCAGATCATATCACCAGACTTCAACAGTTACAAAATACAGATACACCGGGCATTTATCAAACCCGATCAGTTTAGATTAAACCAGACCAGACCTGAAAATTTCAGTCCAATTAAAAGCTTCCTAACTAACCCCCCACTTGCTTGGCCCTTAATTAGGCTTACCTGGAAATAAGAGTATCCAAACGTTCCTCACTTTGACTACCGCTTAGAACATATCCAACCTGAATGGTTTAATTTAAGCTTAGTATTAATTAATTAACTAATTCATAAAGGAAGATAAGCACTAATAGAAGGCTGCTAGCTTAGGTCACCGCATTACATGTGGCAGGATTACATCAAACGATGCAACTGTTTTTCCGTCATCATTGAGGCGTACATGAAAGGGTTTTCGTTCTTTCAGATGATCATATACAATGACTGGCCGTTTATAGATATTTGTTACTACATACCTGCAAAAATGGCCGGGCATACTTAATTAATTTTCTGTTGCAAATAGTTAATTCTGGTGGAAATGTTTTAACATTGACACAACTATTTGTGACATAGGGAGTGTTTGCAACTGCTTCTGCTTAAAAAAAAGCACTTTTGGAGATGTAAGGAAAAAGTGATTAGTAGAAAAAGTTGATAGTGTTTGAGAAAAAAGTGATTTTGAAAAGTAAAAGTTGATAGTGTTTGGTAAAATAAGTGCTTTTTGTGTAATAGAAAGGGGAAAAGCACTTTTCACACGCAAGCCGATAAAAAGTAAAAATTGGTAGTGTTTGATAAATAAGTGTTTTTTTAAGTCAAAAGCTGAAAAGTGCTTTTTTTTAAGTGATTGCAAACACTCTCATAATCTAACTTGGGATGGAGTAAAGTTACATACGGAGTAATTAATAATGGACATTTGCATAAGACTAAACCTAGCTACATTTTTCTCCAATTAATTCCTGATAGATAGACTGAACTGTACTAGCTAGCTGATACCTACATTAGGAAGCTGTCTTCCAAAAGTAAATTCTCCAATAATGGCACAGTGAGCCCTGCGTTCTCATTGATGCTCACCTGTTTACAAAATCAATATATAAAACACGTAAAAGTGTTGTGAATATAAGAAAAAAAAAGTAGCTATATACTACGTATTTACTCTTTCCGTCCCAAAATTAAAGTCACAGTTTGACTTTACACATACTAGAAAAATAAATTTCGGGATAAATTTTACTGTAGAATACACTATTTTCACACTGTTTTGCACTATTTTGATATAAATGTGTTCACCAAATAAGGAAATGTGATTTTATTTAGGGAGATATAAATAAGGAAAGTGTGACTTTAATTTAGGGACGGAGGAAGTGTTTATTCAATGTAATGGATGTGATAAAAATAATGTAACAACCGCATTCATATCTTCCACAAGTTTGCGATAAGAAATTCGTTTGAAGGACGAGGATGTGACGAGCTGGAGTTCCTCTATAAGCGTTGTGGCGGTTGGTTTCGAAAGAAATCTGACATCCTCAATGCACTTCTCTAGAACCCATTTGCACATAAACTTCAAAAGGTCTTCTGCATAATCCATGGCATCCTAGAATATCATATCAAAGAATATATTTAATTAGGAATATTGCACTTCCCTTAGTTCCCCACAAGTACTACAATATCATATCAAAGAATATACTCCCTCCGTCCCGAATTGAATTGAAAACTTTGACCGGCACAAGGATTGAGGAATGATAATAAATGATGTTTGCTTTTTACATTTTTGTCTTTCATCCTAAAATTAGATGTCTTTAAGTTGATGGGAAAAAGTAAAAGTAAAGGTAAATTTGTCACTTTACTCTTATTTACATACCTAAAATAGAAAGGGGAAAATCATTTTGGGACAACCAAAATAGTAAATTTTGCAAAACAAATTGGGACGGAGGGAGTATTTAATTAGGAATATTGTACTTCCCTTAGTTCCCTACAAGTACTACAACCCATTGTACGTTTGAGATATGACACAAAGAAAGAAATGAAAAAAAGCAAAATATTAATTATTTTAAAGAAAAGTGACTTCCTTAAAAAAAAGTGACAAGTTTTTCTGAACAAAAAGAGTGTTGGCAAATTAAAGGGGTGGTGCAATTATTAGAAAAATTGGGTTGTATAGTTGTTATTATATTGATAAAGTGTAAATAAAATAAAAAAAGAATTGAAACCACATAAATATTATCAATATGATATGAAATAAATTTAGTAGGACAACTGTGACAAAATGAGGCCATGATAGTGGGACGAAAGGGGTATTATTTTTTCTTTTCTCCTATTAATGTTTTCTATTATTAATATATAATACATACTTTAATTAAAGTGTTCATAACGGAGCACATTATGCCAATTCAGTTTTTCATTCGATTTAGAGGTTGTTTGGCAACACTGTTTTTTGGCTTATCAGGCATATCAGCCAACTTTTTCACCAAACACATAACTTTTGCTTTCGCGAGCTGAATTGTATAATAACCAGAAAAAGTAAGGTTGAAGTTACTTTTCTGGCTGTATTGGCTGAAGTTACTGTAGATGATCATTTTAGCTATTTTTACACATAATTTTTTCTTTTTTTTATTAATAAAATATATTTTAAAAACATTTTTTTCTTAAATCAGCAGAAAAAGTCACTTCAGCCAGAACTTCATAAATTTCAGCATAATTAGCCAAATCAGTCGATTTTTGTGCTACCCAACGGGCTCTTAATCAACTTCAATGTCACCAAACGGACTTAATCTTATTATTAGTTAGCCCTAAATATAGACTTATAAAAAGAATAAGAATCATTCCCAAGACACTGCTCAAAACAAGTGTAAAACTCCAAAAAAGTTCACAAACAAGATAATTATGTTTGATTGTCATATTTCAAAATATGATTTATTTAGTCTTAATATAAGAATAAAAACAATTGAAACTTCCTCTTTTAGGAGTCAACAAGTTTTGTTTAGGAAGAAAACAATGATGGTGCTCAAAATTTAATATAGAGTATATTTTACTCATATTTAGAGAATTTTCTCACTTTCTAACTCTTATTACTAAGAGGTTCTTTAATCTGTGGCGGCCTTAGGAAAGGGGTAGGAGGGGCAATCTTCTTTAGGTCCAATAATTGTTCTTTATATATTGTTAGTATGATTCTATTTTTTTTATAATACTTTATATGATTTTGAGACATATATCAATATATGTTAACACAAATGTTATTTAAATCTATTTCCGAATTCCAAATAGACATATCCCACCGGTCAAAGCATATAATTGTAAGTATATTTTCTTTTAAACTTTTTTAAATTTTAGGTATTCATTTTTCTTATTAAGGATGTTTTTAGTTGGACTAATTTTAGCCTCAGACCAGATCAAATCAAACTTAGACAGACCAGACTCAAACAGACCAGACTTGATCTCGATAGTTATAAAATACACTAAGACTAGACATCTATAGACCAGTCCAATTCAGACCAGACCAAAGAAATTCAGACCAAATTTTGTACATTTTAAGTGATTTGTTAAACTGTTGTTCTCATACAATTTTATCTTCATACCATTATTCTTATGATATGAATTTTCTTCATACCATTATTCAATATTCTTGTGATATCAAATTTTCTTCACAAGAAAGTGAACAAGTGTTTTTCATTTGTTTTTTACTTTTATTCAGTAATTATATTGCTCTATTTTGTTTAAATACATACCCGTAATAGATAGTAATTCTTTCTTAATAATGATTTTACACATAATGTTATCATACTAATTTCTGTGTAGAAGTAATTTGTAGCTATTCAAATAAGCACATGAAAATAATTTGCCCCTGGAACCTAGAGGTCTGTGCCTGTCTTTGTAATGCATACTCCCTCCGTCCCCTTTTAAATGCCCCGTTTTACCATATTGGGATGTCCCTATTTAATTGCCCCATACCTTATTTGGTAAACTTTGTGTGGCTCAAAATCATTCTTACTTTATTCTTACTTTATCAATTAATTAATATCAACCACACAAACTCACTTTTTTTAAAACCCGTGCCACCATCTCCCGTCCCATTTAAAAGGGGACGGAGGGAGTACATAATATAGGGATTCTATTCGTACGGTCCATTGTATATATTACTTCTATCAATGCCACCAGTACACGGTGGACTGTATGCATGAAATTATGACTGTCGTGTAGAAGGTTTTGTCGGAAATTTGAATAGTAATATTGTTTGAAACAATTACATTGTTATGATGCTAATGTGTTTCGCTTCATAGTTAAGATACCAAAACACAACAATTTTAATGATTAAGGTACTATTTATGCATTTACCCCCGAGCGTCTTGAATTTAAATCATATGTAGCCAAGAATAATGTGTATTCATGAAATTAAAGATGGAAAGAAATAGGTATGTACCTCTGATTGAGAGAAAGCTATTTCTGTATCAACCATCCACATCTCAGCTAATGATATCATACTGTTACCTTTAGGTTGATCCGGATGAAAGACAGGACTATATGTGTAAACATTTCCCAAGGCGCTTGCTTGACTCTGCAGATGAAGGCGACCTGAAGAAGTGAGATGCATAAGCTCTGAAAAATAATCACTACTAATGTTTTCATATTTTTCTTTGTTTCTCATCTCTTCATCAGCATTCTCATCTTTTTTCTTCTGATCTTCATTTGTTGCAACCATTACGTGAAATTTTTTGTCAGATGGCCTGGTGTTTATGTTATTGATTATGGGCACTTGTACGTTTTGAAATCCATTGGCTTGGTAGAAGGTACGTAGTGCCGTAAAAGCCGAGTTATGTATTCTCATAAGGCTTGCCATCTGCAATTATTGTTGTTAACCAAAGATAAGATAACCCATTAGATAGAAATGATGACAAACATGAAAAAATATACTGTGTTGAAGTCTTACATCGACAAAACATGGAATAATTGAAGTGTTATATTAATATATTGGACTAATCCTTCTATCAGCTTTACCTTTAGGATGAAAGAATATGACTTAACATGGTATCGGAGTTAAATCGATCTATAACCATGATATGGAATATACTTCGTATGGAATACATAGTACGAAGTAGTATTTATAGTAACACTATAGGCTTAAGTAAAGGATTTTCATGAGGTGAGGCATGTGGTATGCAAACCCTTAAAGTGTTGACAAAAACAAACAAACCTACAAAATCATGATATGATACCATCTTAGATTGGTTCCAACTCAAGTCACAAACAAGCACAAAAGTCCTCACGTGATATGTTCCAATCACTGACCTGTGCTGTTCTAGGTCGAAGGTGAGGATAATTCCTCAATAGTGTCAAAGGCAAGGTTCTCCTTGTTAGTAGATACTCATTCTTGTCAACAGTCCCAAGATGCAAAATTTTATTTGCCAAGAGTTCAATATGGTGTTTCCCCTCAGTTGATGCTTTCTGCAATATACCCTCTACTACTATGCATGTTCCAGTGGGCATCACTTTTTCTGGACTTTCTAGCTTTGAGTCCACCAATACCTAAGATCAAGATACATGCATGATGCATCTCATAATATCTTTTGAAGAAAAAAAATGCATGAAGCTAAGTGGCGTAGATAGGGGCCCAAACTGGGCCGGGCTGGTACAAAGTTTTTTTTTTTGGGAAAATTTTAATTAACACGGATTTTTACACTAATACTTAAAGCAATTTTTAAAATTGGGGTGGGCCAGAGCCTAACACGCCCCTAGCTCTGCCCATGAATTAGCTACCTAGAGTAAAGTTATTAACCCCCAACGTACTCCCTCCGTCCTCATATTAAATTCCCAGTTTGAATTTTACGGTATTTTAGGTGGAAGTTTGGCTCTTAATATCTAAAAATATATACTTATAATTTCTAATATAAATTAACATTGGAATAATATATATTTCAATGAAGTATATGGAGTATGAAATTAATTTTGTGTGAGAAAGTAGTAGGAGTATAAATTTAGAATAATTAACCATCAAAGTTTATAAAGTTTGATTCAAAAAGTGTAATTAGGAACTTAATTGGGGATGAATATGGAGGAAGTTTATAAATTAAAGATCAAATAGAAGTCTTGACTCTTTACTATATACTGTATACATACCTGAAGATTCTTCACAGAGGAACCGTCATTCACTTCCAACATTGAATATAGTGGTGGGGAGAGGTTTTGCATATCAGACTTCTCTTTTATCTAAGAAATTAAAAACCCTTACTATAAAAACTAATTAAGAAGATAAAATTACGACAAAATAAAAGTACTTAAAAGAAATCTGAAAAATCCACAACTACCTTCAACTCCTTGGAGATCTTAACCCACCCTCCAATCACTACTCTTTCACCAAAAAGTCCCACTCCATCATCATCCCTTTCAAATATAGTTTTCAAGACTAGCCTGTAAGTATACTTACTGCTAAGGCTGCTTGGTGTAATGTCACTCATTGATTCTAATGAACTCATTTTTATGTTTTTTGTTTTTATAATTAAGGAAGATCAGAACAGACAGTAATTAAATTGTAGGTGAAGGAGTTCCATATGGGTTGTAAATTTGCAATATATATACACGTTATAAGTTATAATAAGTATTTAGAGAATGCATATTTACTAGATGGATGCTTTGCTTGAAAAACAAATTGTAGAATTAAAGAAGTTACAGAATATGCTTTTAGTAAGTTCAAAGAGGAAGGAAAGGGATTGTTATTAGGTCTAGCCATTAGAGTGATAGCTAGAGTTGGAAAAATGGATTCGGTAAAAAAGGGATGGCTATCATTGAAATTAAAGGATTTTGGGTCGTGCCCAAAAACCAAATCATGGAAAGGGTTTCGAAGTGGTAAAACTAGTCACAAATCCTCGAGTATTATGGCCTTTTTATTCTAATATTTCTATTAATTAACTGATTTCCAATAAAGTGAGATAAGTTTCAAATACCCAAAAATACGACTCTTCCGTTATACACCACATCGTTCCACACAAGGAACAAGCCATTTATCAGTTGCACACCAAGGCCTTTAATGAATTTTAATATTAGAAAATAGGAAAGAGTTTCTCCGGCCGTCCACAACAACCGCCACTGTTACCACCGGCACCGCCAGCAGTCTTGCTGCACCACCGCTCAGTGACTTCCTCCGGCCATAGTGACCAACGCTCAGTGACTTGTTCCGCTTATAGTGACCACCGCTTAGTGATTTTCTCCGGCAATAGTGACCGCCGCTCAGTGACTTGCTCCAGCCATAGTGACCACCTTGCTCCGCCCAGTGACTTGCTCCAGTCATAGTGACTACCGCCCTCCGCGAATAGTGACTATCACCGTCCGTCGGCCAGAGAGCGTTCCGGCCACACATTCACTGCAAAGCCACCGCTCCGGCCAACCACCGCATCCCAGCCCCGGCCCCACCAGCCCCACACTACCCAACCCCCCAGCCCCACACTACCCCGCCCCAGTCTGCACGATCTCTGCACCAACCCCAGTCCCCTCCCTTGCCCTGCCACAACCCCACACCCAGCACCCTCCCCAGCTCCCTCCGACCACCACCGGAGACTACTACAGTCGGTACCCTCCCAACTGCCCCCCCCCTGCGGCTCTGCCCCCCCCCTCCCCAGCCCCAAACCCCTGCACTCGCCCCCCCCCCCCCCCCCGCGCCCTTTCCGATTCTCCCTGACCCCTCCCCTATCCTCAGATTCCCTCCTCTCGCAGCCTCTCAGACCCCATCCCCTGTCCTCGCCGCATTCAAACCCTAGCCGCCAGCTTCTAGCCATCGTCATCCTCTTTCGCCTTCACGTCGCTGAACGAGAATAAAGGAGAAGAAGAGCGAGGACGAAGACAATGAACAAGGTCAGATCCGCCAGAAGCAAATCTTCGTCTCGAAGAAGGAGATTTCGAGCAGCGGAGGGGTTAGAGTCGTCGTCGCCGGAGTATCACCGTTGCCAATGAGTACTGGCCGTCGTCGCCGGAGTCTCGACGTCCCCCCTGGGACTTCGCTTCCCTTGCCGTTTGCGGAGATGGTTGGCTTTGGAGGAGCAAGCTACTGCGTACGTCGAACAGGGGCGGATCTACATGTTCTTCAATGGGGGCACATGCCCCCAATAAAATGTGAAATTTTAGTGTTATTAAATTGTATTTTAATATTAAAAGTGGAAGTGCCCCCAATTAAAAAATAAGGATGCCCCCAACAAAACACTCACAATCCCACGTCACTAAGTTTTTTTTTAAGAATCCTACGTCACTAAGTTGATCATCCAAAACCCACTAATCAATTAAAGAATTTTCATATTTTATTAGGCTATTTTTTGTTAGTCTTCCTCGCATTTTATTTTTGCATATTTTATAAAAATATGACTAAAATAAGTATCAGCGTTTTTATCTTGAGGATATGTATTCTTGATTTTTATTTTCCAACTAAGAGTGCTCGGAAAAATCGTCATTAGGGAAATATGTTTACAAGTACCCTTATTTTGGAAATAAGATTAAAGACCAAGTACCTTTCCTCCGAAAAATCATGTTACTATGAGTACAATGTCATGGTTACTTAAGCGTAAAAAAACACATATATTACTATGAGAAAGTTATATATTCTAAATATTAAGCTCAAATATGTGTGCGCGCGCGCGTGTGCGCATTTATTTAAAAAACAATTACATATTTATGACTAAAATAAAGGTATTTTACAAGAATGTGACATCTTAAATGTACATAATTAATTAATGCACTTAAATACGGAATATGTAATTGTTCAAATAAATGTGTGTGTGTATTGAGCTTAATATTTAAAATATAGAAAGTCTTAACTATGAGATTGATTTTAAATATAATATATATATATTTCAAAAATATTTGTACTAAACCTCTTAAATGATGCCCCCAATAACCTCTTTTCCTGGATCCGCCACTGACGTCGAAGTCGATGGCGGAGAAGGTAGATCTACTTTGCGTAGATATGTCAAAGTCGTTGGCCTTATGTGGATGAGTTTTGAATGGGTGGATCACTTTTTTGGGTAAAATGAAAGTTGTCATAGTTTTGGGATGTTAAAAGCTGTAGGTAATAAATGGGCCATTTTTTCGAGTATTATACTTTTATTTATAAATAAGTAATATTTTTATTCTTTATTAGTTGTAACAATTTAGTTTGGTATGTTTGATTCTTTCCATTTTTAATTATATACCGAGTATTATTTTTTAATATATAAAAAAAATTATGTAAATTATTGTGAAATTTATTTCAAAGTAAAATTTTAAATATATTTCAAAGTAAATTTTTAAATATTTAAAGCTGATAATTAAATATATTAATGTTCAAAAGTATACATTAGTAAACATGAAAGTTAATTGTTGTTTTTTTGCGGAACTTTCTCACATAATTTAATATATGTTCTGTTAAATATCAACAATATTGATTGAGATGCATTTCAAACCTGCAAGTGACATCCTCTTTGGTAGTGTCTCAATGATGTCATTGAATCACCCATGTTGTAACTAAATAAAAACATATGGGTTACAAAAATATTAAAAAAAACTGTAAATGTGACTAGGGGGGTCCCCAATATGGATTTTGGAGGATTTCAATAGAGTTTAGAATTTCGAATTTAGGTGTACCCGACTTGGATTTCTGTGAAATCTATGAAAATAAAGGTGTCCTCAAACATTCCATGAATTTTTATTACGGTATTACTTATTTACATGGATTTTAATGGATTTTGGTAGATTTCTACATACAAAAACTAAAAACATTCCACCCCAATCTTGTAGGCTCCTTTCGGTTTTCCAAATCCACACGATCATTTAAAATCCATCAAAGTCATAGTTGGGGACACCCCCTTAAAACATACCTAGTTATAGTTTTTCTTTATCTTCTCCAAAATAGGATGTGTCCGCTATTAAATCCCAATCGGCACTAATTTAGGGGTAAAACTTTGTTTAATTTCATTTATGAAATTAATTCATGCTTAACTATTTCTTTTAAAAATCAATCATGGAAATTATCAATGAACTCCCTTCAGGTTTGATATATTATCACTCAAACCCATGTACTATAAAAATGTACTCCTATCACCCTCCCAATCCTTTAATGATGGTTAAGTAACTTCTTATTTACGTTTAGAGAAAATTATAGACATATTTCCGTAACTTTTGTTTGTGTCCGCTAGTAATGCTGTAATTTTATGCGAACAAATATTTGATCGGATAATTAATAAATTTGACCATATTAAAGACTCTTTCACCAAAAAATGATCAAAACTGACCTTGTCTAGATAGGTTGCTTTATGCCTTTGGATTTGAAAAATGACTGAAATGACAAACTGAATTAATTCGACATTTAGTTCATACCTTTCACTTTATCCACTTTTGGTACTTAACTAATGTTTCTTAACCATTTGTAGTTCTTTTCGGCGATTTTAACCACCAAAAACATTGACGGAAGAATCATATATAGGCGAAAAGCAATATTCATGTATAAAAAGTGGTCAAATTCAAAGACATGAATTGCGAACAAATTGTGGAATAGGACCAAAAGTGATATTTATTCGAAAAAATCGATCAAAACATACTAAAATTGACCAAATTTCAAACAAATCAACCAAAATTAGATGAAATTATATTTTGAGAAATAAAGTTAAATTTTATGGTCTTCTATTGTACTTGATTCAATTTGTATGAGAAAATACTTGCTTGAAAATTAGAGATGTTAATCACTTTTATTTTTTACGGTTCATTTTTTTAATCCAAGGCATAAAGCGACCTATATAGAGTGAGGTAAGTTTTGATCCTGTTTTGTTTCATTTGGTTCGATATCCGATGGAAGGATCTTTGATATGGACAAATATATTAATTATTTAATCAGATCCGTGATTGGATAAAATTATAACATTAAAAGTAGACACAATCAAAAGTTACAAGAACTATATACTCCCGTACAAAATTTTCCCTAAGTGTAAATTAAAAGTTACTCAATCGAGAGGGTAAGAGAATACACAATTAAACCTCAAAGGATTTGTCAACTATGATTAGCATATAGACAAAAAGTTAAATTGTATTACCGGGTGCCTACTACAAAAAGTGATAAATAAAGTTTTTTTCCAGAAAACCAAACATCGTAAGCACAGTACGGAAGAATTAAACAAGCCCAAAAACCCATATACCCAATACTTCAAAGCAAAGCACAGCAACTTCAAAGCCCAAATAAAGAGAGGAACAGGGTAAAAATAGCAGGTGAACGCGTGAGAGATCGGCAGGGAAGAAATCAATCAATTAATCTATCTGTGACGGAGATGACTGAGATGTTGAAGACGGAGATGAATCGAGACCATGGCTCCGAATCCCTCGACACTGTTTCTCATGAGTTTCAGGTAACATTCTTATGTGATTCGAGACGAATGGTTTCGTTGGCGATTGTAAGATCATCCGTAGCTGAGGTTTTATTATGGCGTGAAAAGAAGCTTGGGGGGAATTGTTTGTTGCATGATGTATTCATCTTTTATACTTTATCACTTGAAAATGAATGAGATTCCAGTAGAGAAAAACGGCACTTCGGGAGGTTGGTTGAGGCCTTGAGGGGAATCTAATGAAGCTTTCGTATCTGCCATCCAGACGGAAATAAAAGCTATACATGAGGATGGTGAAGGTATTCTGGAGTACAGTCGAATTCACCTTAATGGTAAGTTAGTCATTCTCGTCACCAAAATTGCGCCTCAAATTCTTCAGAATGAGTTACGTGCTGATGAAGTAGGGCTTGAGGGCAGATCACTCGATTCAGTTAAGTCACGGAACTTAGGCTTGAGACCCTTTCCGCCAAATTTTGAACATTCAGAAATTTACAAATTTATCAATTGCCACTCATGACCCATCTCAATGTTCTGGAGGACGAGTTGAATATAAGATTAAGAAGCGTTTGTCAAATGTGAATATATAATTATAATGTATTACCTGATCGCTTGGTGAACCACTTCTCTTCTTCCGGTTTCGTCATAGAGGGCATTTGTCAAATGTGGAAATTCCATATTGCTTGAAATATGAGCCCACCGGACCCAAGGACGTTGTGAATGCGACCCGGTTCGCGGGATCTTCAGGATAATGGATTTTCTTTGTGAACCTTTCTGGAAACTTCAATGACAATTGTTCAATGATTTCTTGGGGTGACAGCTCGATGAACGTGCGATGCTCTCCTTCGAGGAAAAAAGTTGTCTCCAACGCCTGGCTCATCGCAATGGCATAGCAGGATCCTACGTAGTACACAAACCATAAAAGAATGAAGTTTTTATAAAAGAAAACTATATACGTCTAATGTGAATTGAATAATAATCCTTCATGTCTACATAGGTGACAGAATTAAGTTCAAGTTTTGCATTGTCAATTGCCGTGACATGAAGAACTGCAAGTACACTCATTATGAGCTAGAGCCAACAGAAGATATGTGATCAATGACAGCGGGCAGGGTGATATAAGATCTTTCTCTCAGGCTGCTACAGATTTGAGCAGGGTGGGCTGCAACTTAAGTTAATAAGGTGGAAGGGAGTTTTTGTTCCCTGACCCTCTTTAGGAGTAATTAGGACAGTATCATGTTTGATAGACATCTCCTTTACATATGAGAATTTTCCTTTATTTTGTTAATAAAGGAAAATTTAATGAAGTGTTTGAAAACATGTGGGTACGTAAGCAAGTGTTTGAATTCCATCTTGGTAGGTAATGAAGTGTTTACCTTGACAATGCAATGGCAAAACTTTCTTCATCATCATTACCCAGTGCCGCAAAGGCTTCCACCTACGGTGGGGTAAGGGGGGGTCAGATGTACACAATCTTACCCTTGTACTAACGTTCAAAGAGATTGTTTCTGAATGCCCCATATTATGGCAAAACTTTCTTGTGTTATTAAATTATACTACGTTTATATAATGTATACAAAAAATAGAGAGAAAAGAAAACATGTAAAAGAAAACACCATTAATATGCTTATGTATGTGTCTGTGTATATCTTTATCTTGACAAACTAATAAGCGTGAATATGGGTAAGCCCATTTTAGGTATAAAAAATTTATTGGTGTAATAATAAAACTTACTTGGCATGTACTATTTGCGTAAGTGTTTGCAACTATTTCCGGGTTAATACATCTCCTTGCTAAACGTCGTTTATAGATTTGTTTGTATAGCACTATAGCCTCAACCACAGAAACCATGTATGCCGTTGTGTTTGATCGTTATTAGCTGTTGGACCAAAGTCTCCCGCAGATAGCCGCGTGTCTTGCATCCCTTTGTCTCCTTTGTCTTCTCTCCTGTAAGTTGTGATGTTCCTTTGTTTTGATGCTCGATGTTGATGATAACAATAAAAAAGTTATTTAATTTCATATGCACCTGCAAATTGATCGTCCTCCTCTGCATTAGAAATTATGGGAATTCAAACACACTCTTTCATTCTGTTCAGTTGGCAGACTTTGTTCCAATTCCCCATATTTGTGTTCTTGTTTTTATTCGGCTTTCTTTACTCAATCATACAATCTTGGGGTGAAAACTGTTCTCTCCAACGTACCGTGCTTGTATGAAATCTTGTAGCGTTGCAGTTAATATAACAGTTTGCAGACCTTCCATTTTAGGTATTCTAATGTGGGAGATTTAAGTACTGAGATGTTTTTACAATTCTTTATCATTGACCTTTTCCCTAAGTGCTTTTGAAGTTCATATTATGATGCTCCATATAGGTTAATTTCAGAATGATGATTTTATGTATTTAAGCTGATGGTGTATTTAGTTTACAATTTGGCTAACCTTCAATTTTACTCCTGCGTATTCTCTTGAAAGACTTTTATTGTCTTCTTTGGTAATGATAAAGCAATAGAATTTAGAATGTTTAGATTTATGGGATAAGATTCCTTACTAGTTACTACTAGTAAAAGTTTTCTTAAAATAGAAACACTAGAATCTTTAATAATATCATCATCTTACGTGTTGTTATCTTTGACAGTAGTGTGGAAGAAGAATGTGTTTTGTTCATCATAAAAGAGGAGCCATTTCTTATTCCTTTTTGGTTAAAAACAAAATTCACAACAGCAGGTTAATGGTTGAGCTTAGCAAGGCTTTATGGAGCTCAATCCTAATTTTTCGACTCCCCTTCTCTGCATAGTTAAACTCATTAAGTTTTACCAATTCTACCAACTTGCTGACTTTCTCAATATGTTTCAAGAGATATTGTTCTACCAGGTCTTCAAATCTTTTAAACCCTTTTAGGTTTAAACATAAAGCCATACAAAGAAGTACAATTTGGCAACATTGGTTCATCTTAATGATTTGATGTTAGTTGTGGCAGAACCATGATATTTGATGAAGGCTTGGTTTTGACTGTGGAAGATAAAGCGTCCTCTAACAAGGAGGAAGTAGAAGGATGGACTTCAAGATTCTGGTCAGTAGAAGATATTGCCTTGAAAAGCACACTTTTAGGGATATTTTTTTCTTGTTACCTTGAGTAAAAAAATTCTTCAAATTTGTGATTTATGAAAACAATTAAAATGTGTGGACTCTGTTAGGCCCGGAAATTACTGAGCAAATTGGGCCAACATAGCAGCTTCTAAGCAGCGGCGAAGAGCCCAGCGGAGTGGTCAATGCACAATCCAACTAAAAATGGAAAGAATATTTGAAAGAAAGGAAGTCCAAGACTTGGGGGAGAAGGCTCTTACTTTCCCTAATTAATTGAAAAACATCCAAGGAAAGAAAATCATGTATTAATAAATGTACTATGTATGGATCAAGGGAGGGAGCATAAATATAGATCAATTGTGATCAAAACCTCCACTTTGTATTCCTGGATGCCATTACAAACGAGCAGTAAGCCTTTACTATTTCCTTTGTTCTTAATCACCCCATTATGGATTCGTACTTGTTCAATTCCCATTTTATTCATATATTTAGTTTAGCTTATTTTGGCTAAAACAGACTCTATAGTTAAAGAGGTAGGCTTTTAGGATGTTTTTACTTGGACTGTTTTCAGTCCAGACCAGACTTAAACAGACCAGAATATATCAGACTTCCGTAGTAATAAAATATAAAGAGATAAGACACTTACCAGACCAGACTTAAACATACCAGATCAGATCAGCAAATTACAGTCCAAGTAAAAACATCCCTTACACCCTATTGTTACAATGTTACCTATTGCTTCTCTCATAAAACATACTCCTCTTTAGTTTTTCTTTTCAAGTCAAGGATTCTATCAAGCTGAAATTATTGGATCTCAATGTATTATAAATCCATGTGGCTAGGGCCTCCCACTACTACACCAGGTCTGAAAGCTTAAGAACCCCCTCCCCCTCCAACCTTTCACCAAACATCTCCTTTGTTTTGTCCAATTTTTCAACAAAGGGAAAGCCCTTGATTTACATTATTTCCAGGAATGTTGTGAGGGTAAAAGTTAAATTTTAGTATGATTTAAGTTAGGAGTTACAATTAGCATCATACATTGATGTATTAAGTGCACAACTTTCTTATCAACTCATTATAGTCAACACATATTATAACATTGTTTGAATAAATTAAGTTGACAATATTTATGAGGTTAATTAATTTAGTAATTCTGATATGCAGAGAGGACTAGCTTAGTCATTCCCATTGCGAGCAGATGGTTAATAAACTACACATGCATAAAAATAATATTGTTCAGATTCACGGATATAATTTATCCGAGAAAAGGATAAAAAGGTATAGTGAGGGACAATGATAAGTATGCCTTATTCTTTTTTTTTTCTAGCGCCATCCCCCATTCTCATATTGGAATAATTTCTTTTTCCAGTTTTTAGCTTTAACAAGTTAATATTACTGTTTTCAAAGATGTGCTTATGTTTAGATTAGGTACTTTAAAACATAAAAGTTTGAGGCAACGTGAAAGGTGCTTTGAGTGGGTAATGCTTTGATTTACGTAGTCAAAAGATTATTTATTTAGATCATTATCTATTAAAAAGTTGTGTTTTACAACATATAGTTACTATCAAAAACATGTTTCATTGTATATTGTCTAACTAATAATTTATTCTAGATGATAAATACAAAAAGTAAAAAGGTGGTGAATGATCAACATTGTTCATAATGAGAACTAGGGGTGGACATAAAAACCGAACCAGTACCGAACCGAATCGAGTACTAGATATTTAAATGGTTCTATAGTTTTTTACCCCAAACCGAAATCGTACCGTTTGAAATGGGTACAAGACTGGTCTTAGATTTTGAGAACAGAAAAACGCCGGATTGAATCGTTGAAAAATAATGCATTTGAGATTTTTATATTTCTTCATACCAATAAATGTTTTTATAGACTAACAATTTATAGCCCAAGTATGGGTTCATCTGTTCCAATTTTATATAAATATTATGTTGTTATTGTTGCCTTGTAGATAATTTATGTTATATGGTATATATTAAAAGTATGCTACAACAACAACAACATTCAAGCCTTAGTCTCAAAAGATATTGAGGTCGGTTAACATGAATCGATACATGATTTCATCACCAAAAGGGAAAGAGAAAATAAAGATAAAAAAGATACGCTATTATAAAAAGTTAATATAAAAAGAGATGAATATACCTAAAAATGATAAAATAAAAAGGATAAAAAAATGTTTATATATATAAGGATAAAAGGATAAAAAAACAAGAAAAGAAAAAAATATGAGGGGAAAAGATGACACGAGATCACTCCTCCACACAAATACCCGCCCTCCACTTTGCTCTCTCCAAGTCATACCCTCATCCAACTCAAGAAGAAGCATATCACTTCGGACTCCCCTAACACACGTCTGTTTGGGCCTTTCTTTCGCTCTCTTCCATGCCTCTTCTCCACACATCTCAACTCATCTGACAGGGGCATCACTCTGTCTTCTACACACATAACCAACCCACTGTATGTGCGACTCCCACATCTTGTCTTGAATAGGTGTTACTCCCTCCCTTTGTCCGATTGTCTCATTCCTCACATGGTTCTTCTTACTATGTCCACACATCCAACGCAGCATGCGCATCTCAATAGGTATACATTTATACTTTGAGATTCAAATTTTTACTCCCACCCTTTGTTAAAACTTTGACAAGCTATAAAATTTATACTTTGTTAACAATCAGAGTACAAATATAAAAGATACTTTGTAACTTTTACAAAATAAAATAAAATTGGTGTTAAATTAGGGGTAATTTGAGTTTGCACCCCATATTATTGTCTAAATTGGACTTTGTGCCCCGTTTTTAAAAATCTTTGTTTTTGCACCCCAACCCTATATGAAAAGACAAAAAAGCCCCTCCATTAACAATTCAGTTGACCTTCAACACATTCTTGATTGAGGGCATTTTTGTCTTTTCATATAAGGTTAGGGTGCAAAAACAAAGATTTTTAACAATGGGGTGCAAAGTCCAATTTAGACAATAATATGGGGTGCAAACTCAAATTATCCCGTTAAATTATTATTTTATTTTTATATATTCAATATTGATGTCATATGAAAGATAATAAAAAATTATGAATTTTGATGTATTTTTGGTAATGATCATAGTACAAATGAAAAGGATATTTTTTAAAGTGTTAATTTTTTTACATATTCAATATTGTTTTCATATGAAAGATACATATTTAATTTATTTTTTGTAATAATCAGAGAACAAATAAAAAAATTATATCACTTTTAAATAAAATGAAATTTTATTTTGGTGGGCTCCTATCTCATGTTCTCCTTTGGCCTGCTTGTTATGTGTGTTACTTTTTTTTCCACCACTTGGAGTGGAGGGTCTGTTAACTAGGGTTTAAGAGAGCACTATTTTGGGAAATACATTTAACATGATCTTATTTTGGTAAATATGTTTTTATTTAACATTCTTTTAGGAAAAACTCTTTAAAAATGATCGCCACTTTTGATTTTGGACACTTAATTATGTAATATTCTAAATAAGTAATGTTGAATTTATTGTTACTGAATTTGGTGGAGAGATCTATTTGAGCTATTTGTCATATCATTTTTCTATATTTATTAATAAAATATCATTTTTTTCATTATTCAACAAATTCAATGCATTCAATATCATTTTTTTCATTATTAAGATGTTGACTGGTATAACAGTTAAACATTTCTTATCAATCTTATTAAAATAAGATAAGTACAAGAAGGGCGCATGAAAATCTTAGCCTTGACAAAATACATAAAAGCTAGCTACATAAAAAAGAATTATATTAAGATTAAATATTTTTTCTTCCTCAAATATGAAAAAATATACATTCCTAAACAGGAATACACATGAGTAATATTTTTGCGAGAAAAATTGGTAAACGTGTTTAAGATGTTTGGGAGATTTTGGAGAGAGGGAGGAGGAGGAGCAAGGAGGGTTATGACCCCTTTTTTGTTTGGAAGTTTAAAAAAATTATAATGAAGCATTATTTTGGAGTTTTTTTTTGTGTAAGCTTCTGTAACCTTTCGATCAAATGCTCAATTTTTAAACTGCCAAATTTGAGATTTGTTGAATGATAAATAATTAATAAAAAAAATTTACCCCATATTAAAATGAATACATACATCTTCAACTATTTGGATACATCATGCCTCTAAATAAGTCTTACATTTGCTATCTTCTCGATGAATATATCTAAGATGAATAAGTATTTTTAACACTAGTAAGTTTGTAAATATACTTATCCACATTTTTTTTTAATTTTTAAATAATTTTTTCATTCATATAAAGTGAATAAAAGTAATCTCATTATTTAAATATACAATGTCTGTGTAAGTTAATATCAAAGTGATTTTTTAAAGGAAAATATCAAAGCAACTAATAAACTAACAATAAAATATCATGGAACACGGTAAACTATCATGATTTCTACAACTAGAAACGGGTACTAATTTAATACATATAATTTTAATTATAATCTATTCATAGTTTTACTCTTTCCATACTTGAAACTCTCAAATAAGAAAAATGATATCCTTTACTTCCCCCTCCCTCCCTCTCCTATAGCTAGCCTTCAAAGTATTCCTCTTCACTTCCCTCCAATCTCCTAAACATACTCTTAATTTAGAAATTTTCTCATAAAAGTAGCATTTATAGGGCTTACTCACACAGTCATGAGAAAGGGTCCCACTATAAATATGAGGGACACAAGAGCATATATAATACTCGTCTTTTAAAACTTTGTCAAGTTTGATTAGCACATAAAATAATAAAATAAAAACTATGTGATCGATTTTTTTGTATTATAGAGAAATAATTAAAAACACAAATTAAATGAGTGGAAGGGAAAATGTCAGAAAAAGACAATGATAATATTTGGAAAGATCATAAAGTTATAGCGGATGGAATAATAACACACCATGGGGTCACATCAATAGAACTAGGTAGGAGGATGGTAATGTTTTTGGGGAGCTATATGAAATGGTAATGTTTGCACAAATTATAATTAAGGTTTCTTAACCCAAGAATATCCAATAGAAGTGGCATGAGCATTGGATTTGAAGCCATCGACTGATAATTTAGACCATGATGATCCGAAAATGGACTTTAAGGAGATGATAAATGAGTGGGAGCCAAGCTTGCAAGCTTAGTTTAGTATATTTAGGAATTCTATTTCATTGAGTGTTGTAGATTATAGATTTCAATGAAAATTGATGGACGTCTCAAAGCTTTAAAGATACTTCGTCTTCAAGCAGTTGCAGTTTTCTTCATCTTTGTTTCCACCAAACAACCCTCCAAACCACAACTCTGATGGTGTCTGGTTGTTCAAAGGCTGATTCCCGCCTGGAGGTCCCACAGGATTAGTGATGATTGGAGCGTATAGAGTTGTAAATTATAGATTTAGTATAAACCGTGAATTTCTCTTGATGATAGGATTAACACAAGAATAAGGATTATCAAGACATATGAAT